CCCCCGCCACCACACACACCACCCGAGAGGCACGGCTGCTGGGGCACGGGAGGGTGGGGGGCGCCTGCTGCCTAGTTCCCTCCAACACCAGGCCAGCAGTCCGGGGCGGCGGGAGAGGGGGCCCCCAAAGGGCTCCGGGCCAGGCTGTGCAGCCAGCGCGTCACATGGCTTCCCTGAGGAGGTGGGGCCTGCGGCGGGTGTGAGAAAGGCGGCCAGCTGGGAGGTTTCCAGACCCCACCGGGAGGTTGGCCTAGGGCGCAGGAACCCCTCGGGCCAGCCCTGAGCCTGATCCAGTTGGTTTTAAATTAAGCATACAAACAGCATACTGGTGTTGCAGACTGTTATATGGACGGAAGTGCTTAGGAATTGTGTGCCAGGATCCTGTATGTGATCATTAAAACTTTTAAGTGTTATGTAATGATTTTATATTGTAAGGAAATGTTGCTAGGCATAATGAACTTGTCTAACCACTTAGGATATTTCTCCTTACTGTCAGTTTGCTTGACTGTGGAAATGTTTGCCATTTTGTATTAAGCTGAATGGCTAACCTTTTTAAGGCATTCTCACTGAAATAATAATGGCTGTCCCTCACTTCACATGCCACTCTCACTCTGTTCATAAGTTTAATGAACAGGAATTTTTAGCATCACTTGTGAAATCACCATTTTTAATTTTAATCTGAGAAAGTACCAAAGAGGAAGTTCTCTCCGAATCTTAATGTGCAGTAATCTGTACAGAAGGGAATTGACTAATTCTGGAGATCAAGCAAGGTAACAATTTGCAAATTGATGGACTTCAAAATGAATAAATATGGGTGTGAAGACCTTGCTGTGTGGGGGGAGGTTAAAGTATACTTTTAAATGACAAGCTTCTCAGAGTTCTTTGTGCACAAAGTGGTGTTTTGTGAGTAAGAATTGTGAAATATCACCTACGACCGTGAGAAAAGTCTTCATAAATAAGTATGCGTGACAAATCGAAAATCTGTTTTTGTTTTTCATTATCTCACCTGTAGATCAGGAGGAGGATTTGCCTTCTCATTCAGCGGACCATGTCCACTTGGGGCTGTTCACCAATAGACCTACATTATACAGACTGATGGAGGCAGAAGGTTAGTCCCTGGATCTTAAACCAGGTTTTATCATTGATGCAAACCAGCAAAACTAGGGGAGAGCACAGAGTGGTACCTAAAGACATGCCTGACTGCAGGCACAGTGTAAGTTGTGCTCCTGGTAGCACCTTGTGGATTGGAGCACTGCCGTATCTTTCTTGGCCATCCAGTCCCATTAGGGCAGATGGGGCATAATCTGTGACTGCTGAAGCTTCTGTGCAGCCATCAGGAATGGCTCCATAATTTATAATAGTAAACGTACATCAAACAGCCTATACTGTTATGGTTGAAAAATGAGTAGTTGGAGTTGGCAGGAGGTCTAGAAATCTCAATTACCCAGCAGGCTGACTATAGACACTCATGTAGACTTCCCTCTCAAACACAGACTTCTGAGCAAGGCTGCAGTAATGGGGCCTCTCTTTCTCAAGTAGAAGCATTGGAAATGTGTCCCGGGTGAGAAAAAGAGAATTTCCCCGGCTGTCATCTCTAGAAAAAAGAGAATTTCCCCGGCTGTCATCTCCACATTATGGCAAACTTTAAGAATTATGATGTCAAAGACTAAAACCACCTTGTACTGAGTAGGAGCCTTGCCTTGTTGACTTCTTTCATTCAGTACTGTGTGGAATGCAACAACCGGCATGTTTTGGATTGTATTGCTCCTTGTTCAGGTGCTGTTAGGACTCTGGCCTGGAACGGTTTACATAATGTGTATTACACTGTTACCCTGCCTGTCCTTCAAGGAGACAGGAGCAGCAGAAGTAATGCTAAAGTGGGCACCGCAGGCATATCCAGAGTGCCTTCCTTGGCAAGTGAGAACTGGAGATAGTTATTACTTTGTAACACAATTAGGGAAAGGCTGGTAAACTGCCATAGGAGAAAGTAGGACGACAGGAAGGCTTGAGCTTCATCAGTTTCTTGGGTTGTTGACTGCATTACAGCAGTGCATGGCTATACAAGACACCGGGGGGGGGGGGAGTTCAGTTGTATTGAGCTAGATGGCACTATTGGAGGGAGGGTTCTCAAGCTTCTTTCGTTTTCTAAATTTATTGCACCCATCAAGACTCGTCTCAGCAGGTAAAAAGTTAAGATTTTTACTTTACCATCTCTACTAGTTTTTTTATATATTTGAAGCTATATACCATATGTCAGCATATACAAGTGTGTTTCTGTGATCTAATACAACGAAGGATGTCCCAACCAATTTGCCAGTTGCGTTCAGGTTAACCAGTTTAGCAGCGAGCAGTTTCTCTGTTTGTGCCCATTGAGCAGGAACAGACTATGCATAGAAAGTTTGAGGGGATCATAAGCCTGCTGTCTGTCGATTGGAGGATAACCCGGGACTGGGTTTTCTCACCAAAAATAAGATCTTTCTGATATTTTTGCTTCCTTTTCCCATTTGCAAGCTCTCCCCCCCCCCCCCCCCCCTCCCCCCCCAATCTTAATTTCATGTCTGGAATATGTGGTGCAAGAGCGCCTTTTCACAACTAAGCAACAGCAGTACCTTCTCCTCAGATGCAACCTGAAGGAAAGGAGGGCTCAAGGGAGATGCCGTGGCTGCTTTCTGCATAATCAGAACACGGTCCCATGCATATTCACCGCTACAGAAAAGCGCACTCCATCTTTCCCTCACTCCCTTGTCCTCCTTTACAAAGCACCCCTAGAGGACGAAAACAGAGAATATGTATATTGCTATGCTAGCAACAATGATGAAGAAGTATGTTGCCTTTCATCCTATGTTGCCCTTTTGTATGTTGTATGTATGTATGTTGCCCTTTTCTCCCATGAGATGCTGTAGGCTTCCCTTTTTCCCCTCCCCTAGATGTAAGTCGTCTGGTATGAGAGTAGCTATAAAGAACGAAGGCATGATGCCTCACTGCTGGGCTCTCTTCTCTACCTAGAAGGTCTCTTCATAAGTCATAGGCAATGTTCCCTCTAAGCTGCGGAGTATTGTGAGAAAAAATTGTACTTTGTGAGCTCCTGGCATTAAAACTGTGAGCAGGTGATCTGGCCGCGGCATAAATTAGTTTGCTCCGGAGCCATCCTTTCTGAGCGAAGACAAAAATCTGTGAGCTGGAGGCTAAAAATCTGTGAGCTGGCTCACACTAACTCAGCTTAAAGGGAACACTGGTCATAGGTAATTAGCCCAGCACAGCTGCTAGTCCCTTCTTTAAAAGTGGGGGAGAACAGAAGGGGCAGAGAGTTTTCGCTGGACTGTTCTGGCTGTAAGTTTCACAGGCAACTGCCATCTGGATGGGAAAGGTCAGCCAAATGCTGATAAACAGGTTGGCAAAAGTCTCAGAACTTGATCCCTGTGGATGTTTCTGTCAGGAGCACAACTGCAACTCTTTCCATCTGTCCTCTCCCACCCAGTCTTAGGAAGGAGGGAACCAGTGGTTACTGGGGCTGACGGGTTCCCAGGTGCTTGCGCAGTTGTAGGAGTTGGAACCTGCCCCTCTCAGTGTCTGGAATGATGCATGTGTCCCACAAAACAGTGACCAGAGGCATTACTGCAGCCTGGCAATGGGTCCCTGACCGTGATGGGCATTTCTCTCCCCCCCCCCAAAAAAATGATTAAAGCAGCCCTCTCCGTGTGACTTGATATTCAAGCATTGGCATTTTCATCAAGAAAAATGTTTTGTCTTCTGACAGGAAAAAGCCATTTAGAGAACGGACACCCAGAGTTATTTCAACAGCTTATGGTCTGGAAAGGAGATCTGAAGGGCGCTCTCCAGTCAGCAGCAGAAAGGGCAGAGCTGACGGACCAGCTGGTGGCTCTCTCACCAATGGGTACGCTTGGCATGCAAGCAGGCCAGTTACTCTGCTGCCCCCTTTGTGTCAAAGTAATGACAAGGGGTGTGCAGGGGGAGCCCTTTCCTGTGTGCCTTGATTTGTTCCTGAGTTTGGAGGGGATGTTATGGTGGCCCAATCATTAACGTAATAACTGATGATGATTTTCCCTCTCTCTTTAGCTGGCTATCAAGCCTGGGTGTGGACTGTGGAAGCCTTTGCAAAGCAGCTGTGCTTTCAGGAGCAATACGTCAAGGCTGCCTCCCACCTCCTCTCTCTCCACAAAGTCTGCGAAGCTGTGGAGCTGCTGAAGTCACATGGTTTTTTCAGGTCACTCCATGCCTTTTGTTTGGGATGGGTTTTAATGTAGAGAGGTTTAAAAGTTAAAGAAGGAAACAGCCTTGAAGGGAAGTGAGAGGAGACCAAGCCTCCCACGTGAAGCAGTGGTAGTACTGCAGACTTAGAATATGAAAGCTGGCTGATAAGCGGGTGGTATGATACTGTAATTATTTTGGTTTGCATGTTTAAAATATCTGTAGACCACCTCCGTAAAATGAGCATGAAGGAGTGTTTTTTCATTTTGCCTGGTCTCCAGAACTGGTTAACGGCAAAGCTGAATGTTAACTCCTTTTGTGTTTTCTCCCAAACAGTTGCCCTTTACTTAACAGCCTGAGCTATCTCTTGTGTTCTCATTATTTTTATATTTGAATAAAATGGCACCGTTGCCTCCCACCTACCACCTTCCTTTCTCAGTTCCAGTTAGTTTTCTGTTATCCAAAGCCTGTGGTTTGTATTTGGAGGGGGGTGAGAAATAGCAAAATGCAGTTGTAAACAAATCCATAGCTTGGATGACTGCAAAGGTGATTCATGCTTTTTGGCTAAAATAAGTTCACATAATCATAGATATGGATATCAAAACTCCTTGCCTTTAGTCTTGCCCTGGTACTTTAATAAGTAGGAATGATATGGGTGTATAAGGAACTAAATGCAGCCACTTTACTCTTCTTCAAAAGCATCAGGTATTATTGCTGGCTGACAACAACCTTCAGATTGTGTTCCTCTCTTAGTGCTACTGGTTCTTCTGGGCAACATCCTGCAAGGGTGCTGGGTTCATTTACATATGCATGCTCACCACTCGACTGTAGCAGAAAGTGAGCATTTTAATTGTATGGATGAGTCACCTTAATCCACACAACAGACCATTTTCACGTTGCCTGGTGTCAGCTACTGACATCCGGTTCCTTTTAGTGGTGTTAATTGACATATTCTTCCGAGTCTTCAAGCAATGGGAGATCAACTGATAACCTGAGCATAGGCTGTAGATGCTGTACCCAGTGTGGTTCGGAATATACACTTTTAAACAGTCTTCATGTCATTGCAGTTGGAGCTGTGCTCACAGGTGCTGACATAGTGGACTTTGCAGCATCTTGTTTAAGTGACCCCTGTTCCAAATCAGTGTTAGGATGAACTTGTAATGTTTTTTTTAAAAAATCCACAAATACTATTTTCTCTAGGAAGGACTGGCTTAAGCATTCTAGGTTATGCTGTAAAATAATCTGGATTTTCTTCCACCTTACTGTTTGTTTTAGGGAAGCCATTGCAATTGCCAAGGCTAGGCTGCGTCCTGAAGACCCAGTTCTGAAAGATCTCTACACCAGCTGGGCAGCAGTACTGGAAAAGGATGGCCATTATTTCTTGGCAGCCAAATGGTAACGTTGACACCAAACTGTTTCAGTGGGAACTGTTGGGACTTGGTTATTAGATTCCTTCCTGGGAATCCATTGACACCAAACTGTTTGTTTCAGTGGGAACTGTTGGGACTCTTGGTTATTAGATTCCTTCCTGGGAATCCAGTGTGGATTCCTTCAGTGTGAAGCCACTGTAAGCATCTTGTTTTATGAGTGATGCAAAGTACACTGTATAAGCCATGGGGCACAGAATGGGAAATGTGCTTGAGTGGCTTGATGGATTTTCCCATTCTTTCTGTGCTGGGCAGAGGGCATCTTACTCTTGCTTTGATGTTCAGGATGAGAGCTCTGACCCCTGATGCGGTGTCGTCTCTCTTTCTGTTGGCCACCATTGTTTAAGCCTGCCTTGTAAAAACTGCAGTAGTAGATGTGAGGAGTAGAGTGAAAGGGAACCAGGATTCCAGTGGATTGTCAAACAAAGCGTATGAAACAAGCATGGTTTTGGGTGGTGAACTTGAAAGCTTCCTGCAACATTGCTGTCACTTTGTGTTTAATTTTTCTTTTTAGTTACCTGGGAGCTGCTTCTCCCTATGATGCAGCCAAAGTGCTGTCTAAAAAGGGAGACCCCGCATCTCTAAAAGCTGCTGCTGAGCTGGCTTTGATAGCTGGACAGAAGGACCTGTCGGTGACTTTTTCCTTCCGGTGTGCCCAGGAGCTTTTGTCTGCCAAGAATTGGGTTGGGGCACAGGAAGTTCTCCAGCAGCATGAGAGCTTGTTGGTCAGTGCACAGTGTTACTTGTATAGACTCATCCGTGATGCATCATTTATATGATTCCTCTGTGAGTTATGTGTCGTTCTGATTCTTCTCGATTTAAAAAACAAACAACAGTTGGAGTTTAAAGGGGGAGCGTAGTGTGGAGGGCAGAGAATATTTTAACTCTTTCTGCTTATGCTATTTTTCCAACCAAAATCACCATTAACACTCCTTCACCATCCCCCAGGTATTTTTACCCAAGGGAGGAGGATCTGTATTCCACAGCAGAGTGAAAGCAGCTTGAAGATAGCAACTTCTATAGAAAACTGGCACCAAGAGAAAGAGTTAGATCCCCTGCTTTACATTCCAGTTCCAGCAATTACTTTCTTTTTTATCACTGGACAAAAAGCATCCCTGAACTAAAAATGAATGTAGTTCTTCCCCCATTTCAGGGGAATTTACTTCCTGGGTGTGCTTTTGGACAAGCATTAATGATGGTTTAAATAAAGATTTTGGATTATGTTCCTAGCTACAAAGGATCTCTTTCTTTGCAAAGAGATGTTATTAATGAGTATGCTTCTTGTTCAGGCAGTGTCTTGATTAACAAGTTTTTTAAAAAGGGATCCATCTAAATCAAGTTCTTTTGGTGGTTTTCAGTGGTTTTCATTTAAACCCATCTTGTTTTAGCTGTATTTTTTTTTTAAGTCTGCTGGAGGGGAGGCCATTTTTTGAACAGTCTTCTGGATATTCAAGTGGGAATCTTGATCCACAAGTTTCAACAAATCGATTCTCAAATGTATTGAAAATGGGGTTTAGGAGCAAGAGATACTATAAGCTCATTGAGGGGAGGAAATTATCCCCAATTCCATTTACTACTAATTGCATCTGAAATTTTACCATCACCATGGCAAGGAGAAGTGGTATTTGTCAAGGTCTCTCTCTCACCCCAGTCCAGGATGGGAGCTAAACAGAGCATTCAATAACAATTAAACAAACCCCTGGAGAATGTCTGTACACTCTCCAGGCTTTACCAGTAGTCACTGCCACCAGGATCTCTCACAAAAGGTCCCCACCAAAGATCAGGAGCAGAGATCCCAACTCCTGCCTGGTCTGTAGGACCTAGCAACTTTACCAGCTCTGTACCAGGGCTGCAAACAATTAATTAACACAGTGGTAGCCTCCTTAGGCGAACGGCTTAGACACAAGATTCAGTCTTAGAAATCAGGTTGCAACAGAGGAAACACGTCCAGATAATATTGATTATATGTTACCTTTATTCAGTGCAAAAGCATGCATATAACATGAGACTAGCAAAAGATAAGAAAACAAATGATATCTATAGCTTGTTCAGCTCCAACTACACAATAGAGGTATTCCATAGTTACCAGGCTTTTAGAGGTATCAGATGGTTCAGTGTGCAAATATTCCAAGGTCTCACCAGGGAATCTTGAAAAGGAACCCCATGGTGCTGTGGGCAGCTAAGTCCAGCTTGGCTGCCTAGTAGTAAAACTCCATGTTAGCAGCACAGTTGACAAGCAAACAGTCAGTCCAAAAGAACTCTTTGTTTCCAGAGAGGAACTCTCTCTTTTCCCATACGGATTATTGCAATTAAACCCCTTCCATCACGACAGGGTATGGCCATTACCCAGTAGTGAGAGAGTAGGAAGGCGTGCCCAATCTCTGGTTACCATGCGTTGCCAGGCAAGGTATATTTTGATTGGCTAGGAGTTGGGAATCCTGTCTGTAGTTCAGGTACTCCAACTCCAGCCTCTTCAAGTGTCCATGTGTTGTGTCAGGGAATGCTTTTGATGTGCTAATGTACTGGGCATAGCTCTTTCCCATGCTTGGGAAGGCGCCTGCATATGTCTCTGCCCCAGCAAAGGTGTCAAAGTGTCTTGTATATGGATATGAGGCCTGGCCATTTGGCAGGCCATCTGCACAGGTGACAAAAGTCACACGGAAGTGTCACCAGCTAAGGCCATGTGGCCCAGGCTGTACAGTATTTTTCTGTACAGTATTTCTATCCAGAGGGTCTTTTCCTGACCTCAAACATACTTTCACAGATAGGTGTGTCTAACAGATTCTGTAAATACTGTGAAAAATGTACATTGCTTATATGCAATGTTTTCTTTCCTGATTGAAATAAATAATGGCTGTGATTTTCTTTTACAGGGACACAGATTGGTGTTCTGTCTTAATGAACTGCTTCACAAATGCCTTCATGAAAGGAGTCCAGTGCAAAACAGAAGTCCATCCATACCTTGCTACCACAGCTGGGTAGTGAGACAAGACTGCTCTTTCATAGAAATGGTGACCACTGTATGGGAGAGCATATTTGGTGTGCGTACTGCTGAACAAGCACAGAACGTGTTTGAACAGCTACAGACTATTCCGTATCCTCATGCTACAAGCAACACTCCTCCCCAGCAGGTAATCTTGTGTGTTGGCTGTAGATTTGCAATATTATCTTTACACTGGGGATGGGAGAGAAGATAATTGCAGTATCAACGACATAAGCATAAGGGGGTGGGCTGACATTCTAAAGGTGGTCAAGAACACGATGCAGTTCAAGTATATTATTATGTGCATTGAAGAAGCTGGCCTTGATACTCTTGGTGTGCATTTTATACTGTTTTCCAAAATCTGGCATTGTTTACTTCTGTTCCAGGCTGCAAAAGCAGTTGAGATGCTTAGTAGATTCTCTAGTTTCTGATTCTCTGTGTATAAACACCTCTTTTAAGTGAAAAGGCCTTGTCTCCCTCAAGTTTTGTATACTCCACTGAGGCTCCCTTCTGGATTCCAACAAACTGTACATCAGAAACTATACTTTGGAGGTTAAATCCTGCACTGCAGATTAATTTGCCACCGCAGAGTTCTTCTCTCTGTTCTCCAGTATTGATCTGTATTCTGAAGCCACAATTAAGGGTGAGAGTAGTATTACTGAAAGGGCTTTGTGTTGTGGAATTCTAGTGACCAGGGCCTTCCCTGGAACCCCAGAACCCACCCAGGGTTCTCTCTGGGAAAGATGGGACTGGCCAGAGACCAGACTTTGTTAAAGAGAGACTGAGAGAGAACAGATGCTGCAAACTAGAGCAATTGATTAAACCTTAAAATAATATATAAATCTTAAAAAGCAAAGCATACAAAACCATCACCCCCAATATGTAAAATTTGTGTACACTAATAATAAGTAAAGAAATACATTCCGGCTGCCCACCAAATCTGTGGGGTGGTTGGTATGTAGCAACTACTAGTGGAAAAACAAGCCATACATATACCTTGCTAGCCATGTATAGTTGCTGATCAGGAATATGACAAAAATATGATCCTTATCAGAGTCAGTTTATAATCTGTGAGGTCAGAAAACTCCAAACACCTTTCCTGTATCAAGGCAGAGCCATGGTGCCATATACCCTAATATCCCAATGTTTAGACTTTGAGGATGGCACCATGCCTCCTGGAATGTAAGCAATGCTTGTAGGTGAAAGCAACACTCTTGGAAGGAGTATAAGCTTAGTGAGAGGCATATGGCAAAAGCTAATCATGCAAAGCCTTGTGGGATCGTAAATCAAGCCGAGAGGCATAAGCTAATTCACGCTGCTATATAGAAATGGCCCAGTCTCATTTTAAAATTGTGCCACACTTTAAACTGGGCATTGTTTACATTGTGGTTAATCTGTTATTGCCTCCAGAAGAATAAATGGCACAAAAATCAAAGGGATATTTATTTGGGGAATTCATATGCAGCTTGTCCAGGGTCCTACTCAATATCTGGCTGGTCCTTTATCTGAACTTTTAAATGTTGCAATAAAAACTCTGGGGTTGAAAGGTGGTTTGGCAGATGTGGCCTCAGTTTCCAGCTGATTAAGGCCTTTGTTTTCAATTTCAGAATGATTTTTCTTTGCACATCTCTTGTAAGCTCCCATGAGTACACTAGTTGAAAAGAGCAAAGACAGAAAATGGTTTGCCAGTGGCTGGAAACTGGTCTCAGACTTGTTTTTCCTTCTCAGTGAAGCTAGGTTTCTTTCTCCAGCTCCTGTTCTACGTATCCCATGAACTGACCCTGGCGCTCCTGAGTCATCAGACTGCTTCCTGGGAAGAGGCAGTGAAAGCCATTCTTGGAGCTGTGTCCCAGAGCTATGATGGTGGGAATTTTACTCTTATGCAAGAGATTTGCAACATCATCCTTCCTAGAGGTAAACGCTTAATTACTCCTTCTGCTCTGTAGAGTCATCAGTCCATGGAAGAGGCTAATCTCCTTGAAATCCTTTAGGGAAAAGGGGATCCCGTAACTTCATGTACTACCTCCATCTTCATTCTGTGCACTAAACTAGCAGAGTTCCTTTTCCTTTGTCCCAACCTAAACATATAGTGGCAGATGTGATTAGATGTACTAAGTAGAATAACCAAACATCTGTTTTTGTGTGTGCTAAGGGTGCTTCTTGGGACTACCAAAGGAATCTTTGAATGAGTCAGTTGAGTGTACCACAATGAAACTGAAATGTTTTGGACACTATTTATATCCCACCTTTCTTCCCAATGGGGACCCAAAGTGGCTTCCATCATTCTCCTCTCCATTTTATGCTCACAGCAGCCTTGTGAGGTAGGTTAGGCTGAGAGTGTGTGGCTGGCCCAGAGTCACCTGGGAAGCTTCCATGGCATGAGTGGGGATTCGAAACCGGATTTCCCTGATCCTACTCCAGCATTTTAACCACTACACCATGCCGACTCTTAAAAAAAAAGACTTTTAAAAAGTCATAGTGCTGTTATATAAATCTGTAGGTGGCAACACTGTGTAACAGCTGCCCTTCCAGTTAAGTCATCACAGTAACTTAATCCATTGTTTCCCCCATTATCTTACTAATTATAACAGAATTCTGCATTATGGCACTTCCTGTTCCAGAATAAGTGGCAACTAGCTGAAGGACAGTTGGACAATGAATCTTCTAGGAACATTTCTTCGGCCTTTCATGAGGCGAAGTAATTCAGAGCAATGCTCTTTTAAGCAGTAATTCACGCCTTTAGTATAAGAACACTGATGGATCAGACCAGTGCCCTGTCTAGTCTCACAGTGGCCAACCTGATGTTGCCTCTTGGTACTGGGCTTCAGAAATGTACTGCCTCTGAGGGTGGAGGTTCCATTTAGTTGTCATGGCTGGGTAGCCACTGATAGGTCTATCCTCCATGAATTTGTCTAATCTTCTAAAACTGTCTAAGCATGTGCACATCACAAAGTTCTCTAGTGGTGAATTCCACATTTTAATCACTTGTTGAATGGATTTCCTTTTGTCCATCCTCTTGCTCATCAATTTCATGGGGTGCCTCCAAGCGCTAGTATTTTGGCATGCATATAGCAGTGTTCCTGATGTTGGGGTTCTCAGTATTAAAACCATTTTCATACTTCTTTTGACAGGCTGTGATTATCTGAGAGAAAAGCTAGACAGCTCAGATATGCAGAGCTTGTCAGCATACAGGAGTTTACAGGCGTTTGTGGCTTATGGGCAATTATACAATCTGTGGTGGAGCCTCCCTGTTGATTCCCTGGCCTCAGAACACCCAAGGCTTACCTCTGAGGTGTGCGGTAATGAGCCGTCCACTCTCTGTGGCCAGAGCAACTGTGCAAGTGCCTCTAACCCTGCAGAAGGTATACATGACACTGAAGCCAGGCCTGGAAAATTATTTCCCAAAAGGGACAATAATGGTACTAGTTCAGAAACAGACTCTTCAAACAACTCAAGCCAATTAAAGGAGAGACAAGCACTGAGCAGCTGTGGAGTGCTGCTTTCAGAAGAACACGCTGCAGTCCAAAGTGCGCAGAGGGATATCTCAAGAGTTCAGCAGACTTTGGCAGACATGATCCACCAGCATCGGAAAGACACACTTCAGCAGAGCACCACTGATGAGCAGGGTTTGGTGGAAACACAGCTTTCCCTTCCGAGTCTGAGTCAAAAGTAAGATTTAAGACTCAAGATGGGGGACAAGTGACATGAACTGTGCATGTGTTCTGTTGATTACCATAACGCCCTAGAGAAATTGTAGACTCCCACAGATCTAGGGAAAAAATTCACATGGAAACTTGACAGTGTGGTGGCTGCAAGAGATAAAGGGGTTTGGCATGGTTGGGTCTCCCTGTCACCCTGGTTAATTCATGCAAGCTTTAACTCCACGGGAGCCGCTGGTACATAGTAGGGTTGAGGCATTTTATCTGTAAAATGAAGCTCAGATCACATAGTTTTCTTTATAGGTCTATTCAGAGTAACTTGGGAATTTACAAACACTATTTTGAGCAGCCATTGGTCTACATAAAGTGAAACCATGGAGGGTTTCTGAATCATACCACCATTTCTCTTTTGTCTGGTTACAGGCTGTCCCCACCACCACCACCCTTGTAGTGATAGGTCATAAGGCATAATTCTTCTTGGAATTACATTGGGGGAATGAAATAGCAGTTGTATGTACTAAAGGGGACCACAAATAATTGACTTTTTTTGTCTGTGTGTGCTCCCTTTGGACAATGATTGTGGGACTGACAGGGATTTCTTTTATTTGTAAAAGAGTATGAAGAAGAAAGTGTAAGATTTGTGTTTCTTGCTTTCTTCAATAGCAGCATAAGAGGGTTTAGGGAAGTTTGTCTTAATTGGACTAGGAGAGAAATGCATGGAATGAGAATTTTAAAATTTGCATTCCATGAAGTGAATTTTGAGGTAAATTTCAGTTCTGCATACTATACTAAGCCTGGCCATTTGGCTCACTGAAAATCTTTAAAAAATGAAGATTACTCACAAGTTTATCATTTTATTTAGAAATACTGCCTTTAGAGACCTGCTTGGGACATTTTGTTAACTGTAGCAAAATCCTTTTCATAATGCCTAAAGCCACTAAGCTGTCTAGATCTTATTTTTTAAGAGGGAAGCATGCTTATAGGCGGAACAGTACTTTTACTTTATATAATTGCTTTACATACTGTTTGGAAATGTAATCTCTTTTCAGTACAAATGAAGCCAGTGAACCAGTTTCTTTGCCAGACCTTACAAAACAACTCACAGAAGCAAATCAGAAACTAGCAGAGTTTCCAGCTAGTATAAAGGTAAGGGTTGAAGGTTATATCAAAGTTAGAAAAGTAAAGTCCGTTAAAGTAAATGATTCCCATGTTCACCTAACTGTTGCAGTTCCTTCAGCAGTAGAGATGTATGCAATTAGGAATTTCATTGCATGGGTGATAGTAAATAACTTTGTAAACTCTTGTGCTTTTATAATCTTTTATTACTAGTTAATGATCAATTCAAGATAAATTATATGGCTAATGCTTTGTTCAGTTTTGAAAGATATCATACCATCTCAGGCTGAGTGTGCCTATGCAAAACTTTATCTTTACAGGATTTGCCATTCCCCGATGTCCTCGAGTGCTGCCTGGTCATGCTTCATGTGGGAGCCCAGTGGGCAGTAGATCTGGACCCAGAGCTAGAGGAGCAGTGCTTGCATCTACTTCAGAAATATAAAGGAACTGGCATATATAAAAAGGCTTGTAGGAAGTTCTTCACATGAATCTCCTGTTCCTATCAAGCAACTTTTTTTGTCCTTGATGGTGAGGGACTAGTTTTGGATATTACTTTGTTTCATGCTAGAATGAATGAATAAACTCAAGTAGCTATTGTTACACAGTCACATTCGTCAGTAATAATGATTTTGTGGTTCTTTACTAAAAGCCCCCACACCTTTTTCAATATTGTAAAACTTTTTATACTGTAAGGAAAATACAGAGAGGGAGCCGTACAGTATTTTTGTGCCCAGTCATCACACCCTTTGAGCTGCAGAAGCCTGTGGATGACAACTAACCAAATAAAGAAAACGTGATGTAATGAACTTAAGCTGTTTTAAATCATTCCTGCAGCAGCACCGATTCTTGAAGCACTCACTTACCTGCAACTTGTTGGCTAGCCACTTCATAAAACATGATGCTGGAACAGTGCAGCCCCATGGCTAGATGATTTTTAGTGGGGGCCACTGGATGGAGGGGTGGGGGAGGGAAAAAATGGTGGCAGTGAGGGGAGTGAGCACACCCATGGCAGAGGAAGGGGGTGTGGCAGAGAGGGATGGGCTGTGTAATGGTTCGAGCAGGTGTCACTTGGAGAGGAAGTTTGGAGACACACCACCTCGGTGGCTGGAGAGTGGGCTGGAGAGCTACCGCTGCCACTGCCTCCTAAACTGGCTCAGCCTGTTCTCCCCTCACATTCCTCAGAGATGGTTCACTGGTTTCCATGCTAGACAGCTTGGCAACCCACGTGATCAGTGGGGGTGTTGCAGGGAACGGTGGGCTGGTGCGTGCACACGTCAGGGCTCCTATTCCTCCTCCCTCCTGCTCCACAGAGAGGGGGACGGTGCCTTGCCTGAGCCGTGCAGGCCGGCAAGGCCTGTCAAGCAGAGAGGACTGCGCAGAAAAACAGGTTGCTTACCTGTAACTGATGATCTTCGAGTGGTCATCTGTGCATTCACACCTCTGGGATATAGTGCGCCTGCGCCAACCTTGATCGGTTCCTCTTGAAAGCGATTTTCGCGCATGACGAAGGGAGGGGCATGACAATCCCACCAGTTCCTTCTGACCGCTGCAATCAGTGTCAGAGTAATAAAAAGGAGAGGACCGAAAGCAGAGGAGAAGGAGGGCAGGTGGTGTGAATACACAGATGACCACTCGAAGATCATCAGTTACAGGTAAGCAACCTGTTTATCTTCTTCACCGTCTCTGTGCATCACACCTCTGGGAGATTAGCAAGCAAAAACAGGCCTACCTAGAGGAGGGAGCTGAAAGTCTTAGACTTGCACTGCCTGCAATACTGCCTGTCCCACCACAGAACGTTGATGATAACGCACATCCAGGGTGTAATGCACATCCAGGGTGTAATGCTTCACAAACGTGTGACGGGTAGCCCAGGTTGCTGCTTGACAGATGTCAGGGAGCGACGAACCTCAGGAAGGCTGTGGACGTGGCTACTCCCCGGGTGGAATGCGCTCGGAGCGGGCCTGGAAGTGGTCTCTTAGCCAGTAAGTAGCACAGTTTAATGGATTCCACAATCCACTTGGATAGACGCTGTGAGGAGAGCTTCTTCCCCTGCACAGGTGTACTATAGGAGACAAACAAGGCTGGTGACTGCTGGAAAGCCTACGTTCTATTGAGATAGAAGAGTATGGCTCCCTTGACATATAAAGTATGAAGACAGTGTTCCTCATCGCTCGTAGGGGACAGGATAAACATCGGAAGGGCAATATCAGCTTGCAAATGGAATTCAGACACAAGCTTGGGTAGGAAAGAAACATCCGGGACCAAGGTGATGCCATCATGGTGAAAAACTAGGTACGGAGGGTCACAGTGAAGGGCAGACAGTTCGCTTTCTCGTCTTGCAGAGGTAATGGCTACCAGGAAGGCAGTCTTCCACGAGAGAAGCTGAAGACTAGACATGGCCATGGGTTCAAACGGTTTGCCCATTAGTCTGGCCAATACTAGAGGTAAGTCCTAGGAGGGAGTTGGCCCACAAGCCAAAGGAAAGAGATTAGTAAGACCCTTCAGAAACTGCTTAGTTTGAGGGTGCAAAAACACGGAATGGCTGTCTACCACAGGATGATTGGTGGAGATGGCAGCTAAATAAACCCTTAAAGAAGAGCAACTGAGACCCAAGTCCAGGCGGGTCAACAGGAATCCAAAAATTACTCTCAAGCCCATAGGTGGCAGTGGTAAACCCAGCGACTCAAGGTAAGACAGGAACTTCTTCCACTCCCCTTCATAGGAAGTGTGTGTAGATGGTTTACAGCAGTTCAACAGGACAAGGTCTATCCGGTCTTTAAGTCGTGCTAGGGGATCCTTCACGCTGTGAGTTTGAGGTGTGGTACATTGTGGTGAAGCACTTGGCCCTCCTGAGCCAGAAGATGATCTGGTGCTGGGGGAAATTGTATGTAGGTGCTCCGGGACATGTGGAATAGCGTCGGGAACCAGTGTTGGCGTGGCCACCACTGAGTGAGGATGCACTGAGGTTGTTCCTTCATGATTTTGCTGATCACTTTGGTAAGTAGAGGAATTGGCGGGAACAGGTACATGTGCCTGGGGGACCATGGGAAGAGGAGGCCGTCCCCCAGAGATAGGGGGTCCTGTCCTGCCCTGGTACAAAACAGATGACATTTTGCATTCTGACGTGCCGCAAACACATCTATTTATGGGTGACCCCATCTGCAAAAGATTGGCTGGAGGTAAGTCTAGTTGAGTTCCCACTCGTGAAGGGATGCACCTCCCCTGCTCAGAAAGTCCACATGCACATTAAGCGATCCTGGCAGGTGAGCAGCAATGAGGAACATGCCCTGAGATTGGCATTCGGCCCAGATCTCCAGGGCCAGTTGACAAAGTCCCCTGGACATCGTCCCACCTTGCCTGTTCAGGTAGCACAGTGCAGTGGTGTTGTCTGTCAGGATTGCCGCCGCTACGAAGTGGCGAAAAGACCTTAGGGCATACTGGATGGCAAGCAGTTCCAGGAAGTTGATGTGTTTGCGAGCCAGGTGAGGTTCCCATTTGGCACCCACACATACACCTTGGAGGTGAGCTCCCCATCCCCGCAGGGATGCATCCATGGTAAGGGTCAGTTCGGGGCTGGGTGCATGGAATGGGGCTCCCTGAAAGAGGTTTTCCCACCACTGTAGGGAATGCAGCACCTGCACAGGAAGCACGAGCCGTTGAGATTGGGGCTGCCACTGTGGATGGAAACATTTGAGGAACCACAGTTGAAGTGGTCTCATCCGCAGTCTGGCCTTGAAGACAAACACCGCTATGGTGGTGGCCATCAGACCCAGGAGTCATTGGATCTACCTTGTGGATGCATCTCCCTGCTGTTGATGAGGGTGATAATTTCGCCCGCCCTCTTGGGAGGGAGAAAAGCTTGGCAGACAGTTGAATCTAGAATCGCTCTGATAAATTGGACTCAGTGAACGGAGGGACATTGACATCTTTAAGTATTCAGGGTGACCAGCGTTAAATCGATATGGTTGAACAGAATCTCCCTGGAGCTTGCTATCTACAACCAATTGTCTATGTACAGAAAAATCCGTACACCCCGAAGGTGAAGGTACACCGCGATGACAATCATCATTTTTGTAAAGACTCTGGGCACTGTCAAGAGTCCAAAAGAGAGGGCTTTGTACTGAAAATGGCCCTCCACGACCGCAAAAACTTTCTGTGGGGTGGGTGGATAGTTATATGAAAATGTGTCTTGATAAATAAATAACAACAAAAAAAATATGTGTCTTGCAAGTCCAAGGTTATCATCCAGACACCTCTGCTGAGAAGGGGGAGAATGCTTTGCAATGCTGTCATTCTGAATTTCCGGTATGAGATACACCGGTTGAATCCCCTGAGGTCCATAATAGGATAGAGGCCTCCGTCTTTTTTGCGGACCATAAAATAACGGGAGTAGAACCCGAGTTGACGTTGGGTTGTTGGGACTGGTTCTATAGTGTCCTTTTGGAAGAGGTTCCGGATCTCCTCCAGGAGCGTACTGGATGGTGGGGTAGGTATGAAGTTGGGGGCCTTGGGTACCTGGATAAATTCTATGAGGTACCCCTTGATGACAGAAAGTACCCACTGGTCTGATGTTATTCGCTGCCAAGGGAAACAGGCGGGTGGGGGTGGGACAACAGGAGTCAAAGGCTCTCCTTGGGGGCCTTGGGAGTTTTAGCTTAGAATTTTGGTTTGTGTCCATATGGACGAGAAGACACAGTGGGAGAGCGTTGCCATTGTGCTTCCAGGGATGACTTAGATGAGGGTCTGCGAGACCATGGCTTGTTCCAGGATTTCGCTTTGGATGGTTTAGGAGCCAACGTGACCCCTAAATTCCAGGATGTTTTAATGTTTTTGTCTAGGTCTTGCAAGACCATATCAGTGGTAGCACTGAAGAGGCCCTCCCCTTCAAATGGGAGATCTTCAATGAGAGTCCTGGTGTCCTGTGGCAAAGCCATGGAGCACAACCAGGCATGCTGTCGGAGGCTAACCGCTGAAATCAGTGTTCTCGTTGCTGCATCCAATGTGTGCTTAGCTGCATTGATCTGGTGTTTAGTCAAGAGCATTCCTTCTTTTTCAATTCTACAAGCCTGGCAGTTAAGAGTCCTCAGGGAGGGTTGCAATAAATTCAGACGTCTGCTCCCAAAGAGCAAACTGATATCTCCCCATACATGCCATATAGTTTGAAGTCTTGATGCCAAGTGCTCCAGCAGAATAAAATTTTCTTCCAAACGAATCAAGTGTCCTCCCTTCTTTCTCAGGGGGGGTGGAATGACTGCATCTGCCCTTGGAGGAGGAGGTGACTACGACGGAATTAGGTTTCAGATGGATGAATAAAAATTCAGCACCTTGCTCCTGCACCTTATACATGTGATCTACTCTCCGGCTCGAGACAGGTGTAGATGCCGGGTGAGACCATGGGACTTCAGTCGCCTGAAGGAGGACTGAAGTCATCAGTAAGGCAATCAGAGTAGAGGTGTCCATCTGGACAATATTGAACACTGAGTCTGTCACGGTAGGCGGGGGTTGTACTGTAGACAGGATCAGCGTGTTAGCCATCCGCTTGATGAAGTCTCCATAAGATTTTAAATCTTCTGAAGGAGAGATCATCTCCGACTTGTTGAGGTGGTGAGGGTTCCACTGGAGGATCGAGGTTTTCGTCCCCAGATTAGGAGAAAGTGTTGGAAAAGGTGGAATGCTCAGACGGTTCGAAAAAAGACATAGGTAATATCAGTGTTGATTAAATCGGATTCGATGGATCTTTAAACTTTGGAATTGTCAGATGCGACGGTTTGGGAGGTTTGCCTCTCGGCCTCGACAGTTGGGGCTTCACAAACTCCGGCGTCGATGGAGGGTTTCAATACCGGGAGAGACGGGATGAAGTGAATTGACGGTTCCATTCCATCGGTTGGGGAGGGAACCATGGCATGCTGCCCGGGAATGAATAGGCCCCATAGTATCCTGTGATGACATCGGTGAAAGCGCTAACTCCAAAAGGGCAGCGCAAAGTCTGGCAGCTCTGTTCTTTCTCATCTGCTTCGAGAACTTCGCGCAATGAGCCCAAGGGTCCACTTGGTGCAATTCCTCGAGGCACAAAAGACAAAGTGAGTGTCCATCTGGTTTTGCTACCACACTTAAGGCACCGTTTAAACAAACCCCACTTCTTGGCCATAGGCCGGGGGGGGGAGAACACAGTCTAAAATTAAAAATGACCAGAGTCCAAAAAGAAATAATTCTATAGCAGGCATGTCCAACTTCAAACAGGTAGTGATCTATTTTTTCCGGCCAAAAGTGCCGGTGATCTACCACCATGAAAATAAAGTTTCAAATTAGTTTCAAATTAGATTTTAACCCACTAAAGTTGGGTTCCATTGCCCGGCCCCCACCCTCTGTCATCTCCTGGTAAGGGGCTGGTGATCTACCTCTGACCCCTCCGCGATCTACTGGTAGATCGCAATCTGTTGGACATACCTGCTCTATAGTAACAAGGTCCTTTCACTCAACAAAAACACACAAGAAAAAAAACCAAGAAACTTCGAAGAAGAAAGAGGAATAGGTCTCAAAGCCCAATTTTTTACTGACCGAAGCGGAGAAGATCCTACCAGCGCGGCGGTCAGAAGAGAACTGACGGGATTGTTGTGTCCCTCCCCTGGTCATGTGCAGTGGGGCCGGTGTGTGATGAGGAAGTGGGCGCAAAAATCCCTTTCACTTTCAAGAGGAACTGATCGACATCGGCACAGGCTCACTATATCCCAAAGGTGTGATGCACAGAGGCCACGACGAAGATCTACTGCTGGCCTCCTCTCTTGGCTTGGCTGCAGTGTAAAGCACTGTTTTGGTGCCCTGGAGATGCAAATCCGCTAGGATCCCATTAGCAGCTAATAGGTAGGTCTGGCATCCTCCCTGGGTTGGGGGCATTGCAGATTCAGGAGGGGGTGCACCACCACCACCTCTGCCTAGCTATGGCCCTGGAACAGTGCTCTGTTGTGTATATTGAAAAATCTATTCGGATTTCAGTGAATTGTCTTCATACCCCATTACCAACAACTAGACTGGTTTCATAATAAATATATTTTAGTTTGTTCATAAATGATCTAGAATCAAGTAGTATAGTGGCCAAGTTAGCAGAAGACACCAAAATTTAAAGGGGTGTCTCCTTGTCAGAATAGACTGATATTCTGTAAGAATTGTAGCTCACAACTTCCAGAGTAAAGAACCAAGCATTTTACTGCATCAGGGGGCTAGATTACATCATAGGTATTCACTCTGACTCATGAAAAGTCATGACTACTATTTGGCCTCACCAGACATGCACATACAAAAGATGTAAGTTTAACCTTTTTAATTACCATAGTACTGGTGGGCAGGTATCATTTTCTTCTGACCATTGTTGAACCTTAGTCAGTGCATGTGTCTGGTATGAGGGGAAGGCCTGCCTCAACAGCATGCTTACAGGCATGACACTGAGATTGTCATGGAGAATGAGGGAGTAAAACCACCACGATCGCACTGTGACCAGCTACTTGTGTGAAGGAATGAGTACAGAGGATGAAGAGCATCTAGCCAAATTTATTGTCCTATCACAGTGCATTTAAGATCATAGTTGAAAGTCTTGGTTTGCTCAGTTTCTGAATTACCAATAAGCCATTTCTGTGGGTGCCAACTTTTAGGAAAAAAACTACTACTTTAGATTTAGAGTAGTTAATGGAAAGTGAATTCTACTGACAATAACTATAAAATCCATTCAGATATCTTTGTAAGCCTACTCTTGTATAAGCGAGAATAGATGTATCATCTACATAAAGAAGCAGAGGAGTAGCCAAATTTCCTAATTTAGGTGGATGGCTGTTTATGGGCTTAAGGAATTGTGCCAAATCATTTAGAAAGAGGTTAAAAAGATGGGGGTCTAATACACAGGCTTGTTTAACTCCCTTTGACATAGATGTATTTTGTCAGTTGAATATTCCTTAGAAGAGTATTTTATTTGACAGGTAGTAGCCATGTGGAGTTTCCTCAATAAAAATGACAGTCGTGAATCTATCCCCATATTCTTTAATTTGCTCCACAGTTTATCTCTAGATATTGAATCAAACGCACTCTTCAGATCGAAGAAGACTGCATAAAGTTTTTCTTCCCTGTATTCATCAGCAAGAAAAGCCAGAGTAATACAATGGTTTATAGCAGATTTTCCTTTGGAAAATCCTATTTGCTCTGGACCAATAA